GCACCTTCTTTGCTTTCCAACTCGTTAGAGCCAGCGGCTTATAGAGCCATTCCTAAGCTTGGAGCTGGAGCTGGAGAGGCTGAGGGAGAGCACGTGTCCCCCATGAGGGTGGCACCCCACTTTCAGCTCTATCACCTAGAGCCGAAGCTCCAGTAGAAACAGGTATCAGAGTAGAGGGCCCTTCCAGAGCCTGGGTGACATACTTCACTATCACTTCTACAGGAACCAGTGTTCAGAGCTCCCAAATGCAGACCCCACTGGGGATGCAGGGCCCTGTCCTGGGCCCGTCCTCTCTGGAAGGCCAGTCAGTCAGCAGCAGAAGGACCTCAGCACAGCTATGCTCCTCAGACCAGGTACGGATGCACGGGGAAGTGTCCTCCAATCTGAGAACATGACATGAGTTCACACCACTCACTTCTTGTTGATGTGACTTAAATACACGAGAAGATTCATAAGGATGAGGGACAGACTGGAAGGCTCCAATGACTGAATGCAACAGCAACAAGCACTTTCCCAGGGATGAGCAGGCTGCCTGGACCAGGGGCAGGCTTGGGGTGCAAAGACAGCATCTTTTTCCTGGCATTGAGCCGGTGTCTCCCACAGGCCACTGTGGGTCCACAGTGTTATATGTGGCTCCTGCCTCCCTCCAAGATCACTGTGGTCAAGGTGAGTTCTTAACATCCCTGCCTGAGGTTACTGTGAGAGGTGAAGATCAGTGTTGGCCTTATGCGGAGCGTGGAAGTCTGGTTTTTGTCCTTTGGCCACACTTTATCCATCTTCAGGGTCACAGCTTCCAGGGCCACTATGTGGTCACTTCAGGACCTAATTGTGTCAGGTGTCTTTGGGCCTTGATACTTGCTCCTGCTAGGAGTTCATCACCCTCTGTGGGACAGGACAGGAGGAAGTCTAATAAACCACAAGAGCCTCAGCAGTTATCTCTTCCATCTGTTCCTTTGGTTTCAGTGGCCCTGCTGCAGGCCACCAACTGTCTGCCAACCACACCAGCCATTCCTGTGGCTGTGTCTTCTGTATCACAATCTCCTTAGGTCACCAATCACCTTTCAGCCTTTCATATAAACGTTCCAGACATAGTTCCCAGAGAGAGCTGGCTCCACCAGGACCAGTGACCAAGGGGACAGTTCCCTTTAAATAATCTCATGCTAATAAATTACAGCATTTCTAGTATGTGCCTTCCTCTTTTCAGCAGTGACATTTAAAACTTGGCATTTTAGTTCATAACCTTTGGACCCAGGTCTGAGTGACAGTGCAAGCTGAGTAGGGGACTGTCCCCCACCTGGGCTGTCACCTTACGTGTGTGAGCTGTGCTGCTTTCCTTCCTCCTCAGCTGCCTCATTCCTTGAGGCCCCAGAGGAAGTGCTGGCAGCTTCCCTGAACCATTTCAGGACTAAGGAGCCATAAATACCAGGTCTGATTGAAATATACGGTGACACTGCCTCTGAGCGCCGTTTGGAAAGGCAGGCTCACAAAAGCATCACGCCATGTCCTCATCCACCTTGTGAACTGGATGTGGCACCGTGCAGCTCTCCTGGCCCTTCCTTGAAATCAAAATTACCAGCCAAGGTCAACATTTTGAATCCATTCAGGACACTGAGGCTGCCATGACCAACAAGTAAACCCACTGAGAAGACTTCAGAACTGCTCCAGATATTGGCAAGAATGGTGGGATAAGTGTTTGAAGCAAGGGGAAGGACATTTTTTGGGGAAGGGGGACTAATGACAGTGTGTCTTTCATGGTAATACATTTTTTAAAAATTCAAATGTGCACTGTATTTGTTGCTCACACCTCATGGGTGAAACTATCTCAGTGTCCTGGGTCATTCCCAGCCAGTCTCTAAGTGGAAGGGAAAGTGCTCAGGCTTATAGAAGGCCTCATTAAGAGGGAGTGGGAGTCTGCAGAAAGCAACCTACATCCTGCCTCCCAGGGCCTTCCTGATCTCTGGGAGGGCGCTCTGCAGGGGTGGGGCTATCTCTGTCTCTCTGCAAAGGCACAAAGAGGGAGCAGCGACCAGGGGCCCCGGGCATTGGGACCTAGGCAGATGCTTGGGCACAGTGCAAAAGGCCTCAGCTTCCACCAGGCCTGTGTAGGTGGCTGGGAAAGGAGGCCTTTGTGCTGCTGCTTGCAGAGCAAATAGGATTGGATGCCTTGAAAGCCTGGAGGATCCCCAGGAGCTTCCCTGAGGTGACACACCAAACAGATGAATGGCTTTTCCTCCTATGTTTCTTGAGTTCCAGTGAAAGTGTCATCATGCCTTGTTTTCTTTTTCTTTTCTTTTTTTTAATCTTTTATATATACCGGGGATTGAACTCACTTGGGGATCGAACTCATGACTGCCTGCTTGCAAGGCAGGTGCTTATGCCGCTGAGCTAAATCCCCAGCCCCTTCTTTTTCTTTTCTTACAGTCCACATTGGCCAGCCTCTTGTCCTACCCTAGTTGTTTTTCTCACTGAAGGTCCCTGGCCCTCTGTGTGCTGCTGTGTCCTGCTTCTCTGGTCAGTGGGGAATCAGGTGCAGGAAGAAACAGTGACACAGTCTAGCTTTCAAGTCAAGGCTAATGTTTTTAACCTCTCTCAGCCTGTTTCTTTATCTAAAAGTGGGAACAACACTGCTTAACATACTGGGCAGTTATGAAAAATGAACTACTGTCTGGGCAGCGCTGGACCCTTAAAACAACTGGAAAGAGTGGTGCTTCCAGGCAGCCTTTGTTGATATTGTTGAAAGTGGTCTTTGGGGCCACCATGCATATTTGAAGCTGTCTCATTTCCTAGCCAGAGACCCCATCCCCTACACTCCTTAGCTGCGGAACCTAGACGATGTGAATTCTTTGTTGTGGGTGCTATGTGGGTGCTCTCTTTCTGTTAGGACTTTGCTTTATCAGTGGGTAAGAGATGCCCTGCATAGTGATGCTTGGGGCCCAGGAGATGGCCAAAAGAAAGCCCAAAATGGGCAAAAAACACGTGTGCCATGGGCTGTCACTAGGCCCCGGTGGTCAGTCCTTGACAGCCCATCGTGGCTGTAGTTTCCACTCCTATGCCACATTTTCTTTCTAAGGTCACCGTCGGTTCTTTCTACCTGTTTTTGCTCTGTAGCCCTCCCTAGGGGAGGATTCCAGAAGGCCAGCAAAGTCACCACAAGGCTCCCAGACATCCAGACTCCCGGGTTACCAGCCTTCCTGCCTTGTGGCTTGTTGTTCTTGTTATTGTTGGTTTTTCGGTTCAGGAAGGAAACAGTCATTTTACTCCTGGAGTGTGGGGGTGGCCTGGCCCAGGCTGAAGGATCACGTTTCCCCGGCAGAGGTACTTCCTGTACCTCTTTCCTGCCAGGGCCGGAGCAGCCTGGCGTCACTTCTCTTTCCTCTGCTGGGCCAGTTGAGTTCTTATCTCTATAGGTTTTTTCTTTTCTAGAAGACTCATGAAGAATGTTAAGTAAGGTTTTGTTTCTGTATCACAAGGGAAAGTGGGACTAGTAGCAAGTGAGTCAGCTTTTCTTGAACCATAAACTGTGATTTCCTCCTAACCTAATTCAGAGAATAGCTGCTGAGGCCCGCAGACCTCCGAGAGTGTTTGCTGTAAGCCAGTCCCTGCAGGACGGGTGCAGGCTAAGAGGAGAACAGTGTGGGCTTGTCCTCAGAGGGCTTCTGCAGGGCCTGCGCTCACAGAACTGTAGTCCTCCTGTTTGCTGGGCAGGTGAACGGGGACAGCAGAGACCACAGGGGAGAGCTGACTTTCCCGAGTGGGTACTGGGGGCCTTTCCCCTCTCCATTCCTGCCTACGTGTGGGGCATGGGCTGAGTCCTCCTCCTCCAGGAAATGTTCTTTGATTGCTTCAAGCCTTAGTGAGGTCCTTGCTGTCCAGACTCTGGATCCCTGCAGCCTGGGAGATGTTTCCCACACAGTCTCATCCTGGCAGCATCCCGGCCTTGCCAGGCATACCACCGTCTCCTGTTTTCATAAATGAGGCATCCAGCATTCAGAAAAGTAAAATATGTTTCCCCGTCACGGAATTAATCAGCCCCTAAACTGGAGCTGGAGCTCAGAGGTGCGTTTCCAGGCCAGACTTCCTCTTTGATACCCAGGAATGTGCCCAGGTAGATGCCCTTCTCTGGGATCCATGTGCCTGACCCTGTGGAGGCCAGAGTCCCTCTGGCATTGATGCCACAGGAGCTTGGTCAGGCAAGCAGGGCGAAGGACAAGGGGATGACCTTAGCTCTTCTTCCCCCAAGCTTGGCTGAACTCTGACCCCTTTCTCTCCTCCTCTGCCCAAAGCCATCTGGAGCAAATAGCTCTCATGTGCCACGTAGCAGGGGACTGGTAATTAGGGCTCCTTTTGTCTGGTGGACAGTACATTCAAAACATGTTGGAATCTGAGGCCTTCCTGCTGATTTCTTCCAGATCTACATATTAACTTGACCCTAGCAGAGTTTTAAGACATCCTAGCAAAGGCCTAAGAAGATGATATCTTTCATCTTTCCCTTCTTTGGGGCATTTACCTCCTATTTCCCAAAGAGAGACTTCCTGGGTGTTTTGAGTCTTATGTAGGGTGTTCACACATGTGTCACCCAAAGCACTTTAGGAGTGAAACGGTGAGGTTACCACTCCCACTTAGACAGCAAGCCTAGCTTGGGGCTCAGGTGCGTAGTTCTAAATAAAATGGATGCCTGCAATTGGAAAGAAGTTTAGGTGCAGATGGGGTGCTGGTTGGTGATAAGTCAAGGCCTTTGTTTCTAGCAGTAACTTTGTATCACTCAACAACAAAAAGCCCTTTTCTGTACTCTCTACTTTATCTTCTGTTGGTGGTTGACCGAGCCTGTGTCTTGTCATTTTTGTTTGCTTGTTTGAAACAAAGTCTCACCATGTTGCCCAGGCTGTCCTTAAGCTCTCAATCCTTTTGCCCCAGTTCTTCAAGCAGCTGAAATTTTAGGCGTGTGCTGCCATCCTTGGCCTTATTATCTTTTTTTTCTTTTTTTTTTTTCCACCCTCCAGAGATCCTGCAGATCATTCAGCTGGACCTTGACCTAAAGTATAAGACCAACATCCGGGAGTTGTTTGAAGAGTTTGACAATTTCCTGCCAGGTGCTGTCATCGGCATAGCCAGAGAGATGCAGCCTGTGTACAGGTAGGTGGTAGCCATGGGGGCAGCCTCCAGGACCCCCACCCCGGTCCTATCCTGTCTTCTGCCATCCACAGCAGATTGGGGCGGACCAGAGTGTGCTCCTACATGCCTTGTACCTTAGGAACATGCTTGCACTTAGTGTTCACAGTTGATAGCATACTCCCCCGCCGCCAGAGATATTGCCTTATTCATTTGGGGGAGTTTGTGACATTTTTCTTCTGGAAAATCCAGTTGTTTTGGTTGTTGGTTCTGGTTAAGCTCAGAATTTTAAAACCTCAGGCTTTGTCTGACAGAGGTGGCATCTGAATTTATCCTCCATTCTAGTGACCAGCTGGGCTTTCTTGGCCCTGGAATCACCACAACCTTTATTGTGCCTAAGCAGAAACTAATGAGAGGGACTGTGAGGGGGAAAGCAGAGCACCTTGGAACTCGGACTGGCAGGAGCAGTCCAGGTGAAGTGGTACTCTGTGCATGAGGCAGCCTTGTATCGTTAATGTCGCTGACAGAAACACCAGTACCCAAGAGAGAGACATGTTCAGGAATATTTTTTTACAGTGCCATTTGACGTAGCCCCAAGCTAAAAACAACTCATGTATTCTGGACAGTAGGATGGATAGATAAAATGCATGTACCCAGTCAAGAACTCTACAATCAAAATGAGCAAATGGTCACTACGCGGGACGACAGACAAAAACTAAACAGCGATCATTAGTGAGGCATCCACAGTGCTAACCTGGCAGGGAAAACCTAGGAGATAATCCTAAAGGCAGCCGAGCGCCTGGCGGCTGTGAACAGGACTGTGCTTTATTTTTCTACGAAGGTGGTAATGTATGCGTTGCACATGTTTTTTGTGTGTGATGCAGTCTTTAAGAGGGGTAGGGGAAGAAACAGCAGAAGTGATGGTGGTTAAAAGCCCCTAACCCTGGATCCCCGTTCCAGTACTGCTGACTTGTCCTCCAGCTGGCGGGGTGACGGCCAAGAGGCCCAGGTGTGCTGAAGGGAGCCGGGATCCCAGTGGCCCCAGGCTTGCAGGCTCTTTGTTCTCCGTGCAGCCCCCAGCGTGGGACCCCTGGACCATGACCCGTGTCACTGAGCGCCATAGACACAGGCAGCTAGTGACTCAGATGTAAACTTCCCCTTGGAGGGAAGGGACAGAGAGCCTCAGTGTGGTGGTGGCTGTTTCAAAGTCTCATCACACAACAGGAAATTCCTGCAAGACCTCCAAATGTGCTAACTCCTGCCTTGTGGGCTGTTCTCTGTGATGGTCGCCCCTAGCTGCCTAGAGTCACAAGTGGATCAGAAGGAGAAGGCTTGGCAAACCCTGCCATCTTAACTACGACCGACTCCCGCCTGGGTCTCTGACTTCCACCCTGGAACTTGTGCTCGGGGCCTTGGTCAGCCAAGAAGAAGCATTGAACATGTAGTCCTCGATGCTAGTCCCAGCTCTGCCACCCACCACCCTTCTGGCCTTGGCCCCTCCTGCAAAGGGGAGCAGATATGCTCTACGACCTCTGCTCCCAGCTGTGGCATTGGTGGTCACTGCTCTTTGACCCTCCTGTCCCCCACCACCAGAAGCTGTGTGTCTGCACAGAGCTCTAGGACTCTGGAAGACCCACTCTCCTGGATGGTTCCCTGGGGCTCATCAGTAAACACAGCAGAGCGGGGTGCCTGTGAGCCCTGGCTCGGAATCTTCTGTGTCATCTAAGTGGAAACCTGGAAACCACATCATTTCATTTAGACAATACTGGCCAGGATTTGTATTTTCTGCAGGTCTAGGTTTTATAAAAAGTACAGTTTTTTAGGGGCTAGAGATTTAGCTCAGTGGCATAAGCGCCTGCCTTGCAGGCAGGCAGTCATGAGTTCGATCCCCGGTACCTATAAAAAGACAAAAAAAAAAAGTACAGTTTAAATCACTGTCATTGTCTGGCCTTCCCAAAGGAAAATCCAAAAGATTTTAGATTAAAAAATGAAATAAGTTTTTCTCACCTTCAGAATCCATAATTACTGCAGTGTACGGTGTGAACCACGGGGCCTCTGCTGCTGCAGACGGAGGCTGAGGAGGCCAGCGACAGGGCCTGGACGCACAGCCTTGACACACACTGACACTCTCGGACATACGCCCTGTCTTCACCAGGACTGAGTGCTCTCCGGAGACCTCTAATAACTCAGGCCACACATGATTGCTCTGCATCCCACTGGCTTGGGGGATTGGCTTTTAAATTTGCAGCTTTAGGATTTGCTGAGGCTGAGTTGGTTTGGTGCTGGCTGTAGCAGACAAGGAGTGAAGTACGGTTTTGCCTTCTTCCCCAGGGAAACTGGGGGCTCTGATGCCTGAAGATGAAAGTTGTCCACTGCTTTAGGGGTCACAGGTGGGAGTGAGAGAAGGCAGAAGGTGGGAAAGGAGGGGGAGAGTGTGAGCAGGGTAGACCTAGGCCCCCACCTCCTGTCACAGTTGGTGGGGACCCACATCTAGCCACCTCACTGGCTCGCCACCTCCTGAGACTCATTGTGCTCGCACAAGCAAGGGCTCCTGAGAGGGGCAGAGTCTGCTGGGATGAGTTAAGTATCCTAAGGCAACCTGCTGCAAGAAGGGACAATTGAAAACAGCGCGCACAGCACTAAAGCCCAACATGACTCGTTAGGCAAGCACTGTTTGGTCTGGAAATTAACTAAGCCAGAACAAATTTGGAATCACCTCCACCATGTCATTTTTATAATCACTTGTCCCACGGTCACTGCACTTCAAACAGGCGTACGTCAAGGCATTTTTATGGCTATTTCCTCTCTATTGTGTGCTGTGAATGCTCAAGGCTTGAAGTGCGGTGGGAGAAAAGCATTTCCCACTGTCCACTTTACAGATGGCTTTTTAGGGTTTCCCTCCCCCCAAAGATACATTAAACCAAGTATGTTTTCTGGAAAAGATGCAAGGACTGTGGGATGTTGGACAGTGATAGAGGATGCTTTCTCTCTGGGGTCCAGCATCCTGTGACCTTCCTCATCGGAGAGTGGTGTGCCAGTCCTCTTGGGTGGCTCACTGCCCTTCCCTTCTTTGATCCTTTTTCTGCTTCGTTGTCAGGAACTGGAATCCCAGCCAGGTCCTCCATGGTGATATGTTTGGTTGGGGGAAGTGACCAAAAGGAGAGAAGATGCCAGGGCCTGTTTTGTAAATTGATAGTTGTATTTTGTGAAAACACCACTTGTGACTTGCTTCCTTATGAATGTGTTAGAAAAGCCAAGAAGACCATGGGACCTCCTTTATGTGTATGCTGTAAAAACTATCAAGGCATCCTCTAAAAATTATTGGCAGGTGAAAAGTGCGGCCCCGGAGAAATGGCACCAGGCTATACTCAGATATAAATAGCCATGGCCCACGCTGTGGGCCCCTCAATGCTCAGACCTTGTGTTTTCTTGTCTGTAAGTGGGACAGATATATCCAGTGCACACAGTACTGGAACACTCAAGTGAAATAGGTTTAGAATCTCTAGGAGAATGGAATTTTTGGTGTGTGAGTGGAAAGCATTCCTCCCTTAATCCTCTTGGCTTCTTTTTGAGTTCAGTCTCTCAGAGGACTTCTTCTGGGCACCTCTTTCGGTAACTCGCTTAAGGTTGCCACTTAAGCCACAGGACCTGTGTATGAACAGCAAATACTGTTTTGTGTCATAAATGTGTTCCAGATGCCACATGGGACATACTTCCACAAAACAATTATTTGCTGTGTATCTGAGATGTAAATTTAACAGGGCGCCCCGTTTGTTTTTTCCTGAACCCTCCTCAAGTGTGCAGCTTCACGTGTTCACAGATGGCAGCCATCTGGCTTGAGGGGGCTGAAACAGAGGGTGCAGCAGTGGAGCTGCGAAGACCGTGGTACGCAGTGCAAGCACAGGGAAGCCCCTGTATCTCCTGGCACATCAGGCCCAACTTTGTGCCCCTGGCCCTGCCAGAGCAAGGGCCCAACAGCAGCCCAGGTCATCCTGGAGGTGGGCAGATCTGGCACTGCTAGGCTGCAAGTCACCAGCCTCCTGCTGACCCTGGAGAGAAAGAGAGTGGAGGAGCCAGAATGCAGCCTGAGTCAGAGTCACTCTGCCCTGTGTGACCACTTGAGGAGCCTCTGAATGATGGCTTTGGTGGGTGCAGTGGGTTCCAGTCCCATTCTCCCCACTGCACAGGCTCTGCTGTGTGCTGGAGGGAGCCCAGGCCCACCAGGCCGAGCAGCAGGTGGTTCCCGTCAGCTGTTGTCTGCCTGCTGCCAGGCAGGCATTTGCTTGTGCATTAAGCATTTCAGTAGCGTCCACTCCTTTGCCTTCTGAGGCCCTGTAGTTTATTATCCACAGCGTTGTGCCAGCCTCGCCTCCTTCCTGATGCCTGGAGTGAACGTGTCTACCAGCTTCTCTGCAGCTGCTTTTCCAATCCTAGGACTGGTGTGGGGCCCTCAGGGAGTGTTGGGAAGCGAGGGATGGTGTGACAGACTCCCACCACTGCCACTCCATGGCTGTGTGATCCTGGACACATCTCTTGCCCTTTCTGAGCATTAGTGGAGATTATATTGTCACCATATATAGCTGAATAGTGGGGGGCTACAGTAGAGGGTAATTTATGCCTGGCACAGGGCAGCGCCCCATAATGGTGTAATCGCTACCCAGTCTCTGCTTGGCCACTGATAAGTTCTGTGACTCTAGAAAGTCCCTACCTCGAGCCTCAGCTTTCTTCTGTGTAGAATAGGGGCTTCTGTTAGTGTGAGCCATGCTGATCTGAATTCCCTTCCTAAGTGGGAGGAAGTCCCTGCCTCCCCTTCATCCCCAAAGAAATTCCTTTTGTGAATTTAGTATTTCTACTCATCAGTTCTTACTTTCACTACATACCTCTTCTATGGCATTTGCAAAAACAGAAACTGACATGTTACATGGAGAAAAGAACCAGTCCTGGATAACAAGAAAATCTCTCTGTCCTGAGGGAGCTGTGGAAACCAGAGACGGAAGGAAGTGGGGGTGTTTGGATAGAAGTCG